GCTGGCTTATTTCCTATTTGTGTTCCAGAGATCCCTGATGGGATTTCTAGAGATCCAAGCCAAGCATAACCTGCCAATTCAAGTGTTAAAAAAATCTTCATCAAGTAAAACTTGGCTAAACCTTTACTTCTAAGAAAATGTAATAGAAAGAGAAAAGTCAGGTTGGGAGAGCTACACCTAGCGTTATTACTTGTTTGGACTCAGATTTATAATAGCATGCATGCCTATCACAACTTAATATTTTGCCAAATATTGGAAGTTGCACTATGACCAGACAGAGGTTAAAGGCTCTCCTTGAGGCAGAGGTATGGAAAGGGAAAGAACAATGACTTCCCTCTCCCCCAAGTAAGTCAGCCTTGACTTTGGCTTCTTAACATGCCAGCCAGTGCCGCGTAGCTGACATTGAAGGGCAATCTACACCATATAAAAGTATTAAGGATTATTTTACTCTTCCTTCTCAAATAAGAATGGGGACTGGGGATTGAACAGCAACTTAAAGTCATTATTCAGCTCCTACTTGCTCCTGAAGCAGAACAAGTATGTGCTGCTCCTTTCTCAAGGATAGTTAATACACCACACATACTGTCGTATTCAGAATTATTTTGCTAGTTTAACCGAAGTCAGAGTGCTATACAGGATCTGCATAATATATCACAAAAATTTTCATCTTCTAAAGATGTATATAAATTAAGAGAACCAATGCAAGATCAAGGGATAATTACTACTAAATGAGGAATATTAAGTATAAGGCTATAGCTCCCATTTTCATCCTAAGGAATCTACATTTCCTTTAATGGATACATCTTAATTTCCCCTCTCGTTAGATTGTATCAGATGACATTTATTTGCTTCTAGAAAAGCAAAAATAAACTAATTTTGATTTGATTAGTTATGCTCTTTTGACCTTTAAGATGAGAACATGCCAACAGGAACTATACACCATGTGCTTTAATCTCTGTATTCAGATGATAATTTATTCTGTAATACTTTTATTTGAACTCTTCACCTTTGATGGCATACCTTTAAAATATTCAGCATAGAAAATAGAGTTATTAATTGACTGGTTCTCATCAAAAGTTAAAAACATCTAAATTATTGAAATGAAATCTAATTAATGATGAAATAACTTGCAACATGTATACTGTGGTCTATTTCATCTGCAGACCTTTGTCACACACAGAATTCCAAATGTAAGTACTGGTTGCAAATTATTTATTTTTCTTTTCAAGAGAAGCTTTGATTTGGTTAAGGCTTGATGTTCTGCAAAAGCGGTAGGTCCAAACAAAAATGGAAATGCTTATTGAATTACATATGAAAGTGAGTACCACTCAAAATAATACCTCTTTGTAATTTATTTTGGTACAAAGTTTTATTCTCCATCAACATTTTTTAATGTTATACCAATTTTATATTGCTAGGATTTCATTGACTCAGAAAATATGATTGGAACCCTTCAGGAAGCTGTTTGTGCTCTCACCACTATTTCAAAATTTTCTCCCCATCATCATCACCTGCTTCTATCCAATGTCAAATGTGCACAGAGTTTGACAAATTGAATCCAAATAAATAAATAAATAAATAAAATAAAAGAATTCTTCATTGCTAACAACCCGTCCTGAACATCCACTGTTCTGTTGACTGCATTATCGTAGTCTGTATCAACTGCCCTACCCTTTCCTCTGTGTTTAACTTTCACCTCCTCTCACGAGGCAATGAATGCTTACTCTGTAACTAACTCTGTGTTTTTGAAAGTTCCTTGACTATGCTAACTTTGACTACTACAAAAAGGTCCTTTTTCCCCACCAGCTCTGCTCCTGGCCAGCCCATACTGTGCTTTCTCTCTCAGATGCCTGTCTCCTACCTTCTGAGAACTCATCTATTTTGCTTAATCAATTCTTTAGTGGCAGCTATCACCTCAACAGAGGCAATTTGGTTATATTAATTAACTCACACAAAAACCAGAACTAAAACAGTTAATCAATTATTAAGCATGTTAGTGAAACTTAACATAAAACCTTCCATTGATCGCTTCTGCCTGCTGCCTTCAGAGCCCTTCTGCTTGTTTTGTTTTAGGACTGAATTAAGCAAATAGGACTTGAGCTTTCCACACACACTCCGACTCCTTCTCATCTTTCTTCTTAGACCAGTCTTTATAACATATGGCCCATGACTTATTATATATGCCCTTGCTAAACACTTACTTGTCCTCAGCTTCTCCCTTTCTCTTCTTTCATCCACATCCTCTCCTCTTTCTCCCTATCGACCATACTCCAAAGTGCACTCCTTTTACTTTTAAACACTCATTAGCCATATCCCAATCAAAATGTTGCTCCACTCCCCTACACTTTCACCTCCAACTGCTTTGAGTAGTCTTTCTGTACATGTGACTCACATCCTTGGTTCTCCTTTATTGGCCAGCTACAAATGTTTTTTTTTTCCCCTTCCTCCCTCTATATTTGGGGTTCTCAATATGTCCATAACTGTTGATCTCCTTTCCTCATCAATATTTCATCCCCAGGCATTCTGCTTCTTTGGTTTCAGTCACCTTTTTATATGTAAGCCTTGCACATTTAACTTTTTTTCCTGAAACGTGAATGCAGCACATTTTTCGCCAGTTCCATTACCATATTCAAAAGAAACCTCTAGCGTTATAGAGGATCAGGGGGAGGGAGAAAGGAAAGTGGACTAGGAATCAATTGTTGTGTTAGTTCTACATTAACATTCTTCCAAGATAAACACACACACACACAATTTTGATATAATTTTAAATGCAACACAAGCATCAGAAATACACAAATCAGTTACACATCTCAACATGGACTAAATATATGTTTGTCACAAACAATAAGCAACAAAGAGGAAAAGAGAAAAAATGTAAGGAAAAAGAAAGCAATAGAAGATGAGAAGAGGAAATGTATAATTGTGAGTCATAATTTAGTTGCCAAAATATTCTAAGAAATCTCTCTCTACTGCACCAAGCACTTTTCACATGCCAAGTTATGTTTTCATATATAATACTTTCTTTTCTCTTCCTTTAATTTTTTTCCACATTTAGAGTAAGCTTCTGAAGACAGACATCAGTTCTTCAGTCCATAAAAGCATTAGCGATGCTCACTTCTGTAAGGAGTGCTAAAATCCAATATTTGCAAAAATCACTGGGCATATTTATTCTTAAGGGTGAATTCAAAGTTACTTTAATTAGACATACTGACATAATATTTCAGCATAATGCCTCCAACTGGCATTTCTCACCCACTTTTTCCTTCACGAACAAGTACTGTTGTTAGCATGCTTCCTCTCTGTAAAGCTCAATGAAAAGTGCAATTACTATGCTGACATATGGCTTCTCAAAAAAAAATAAACTCCATTCAATAGAAACCGATTTTAGGAATTTAGCTTCCAACTATTTATAACCATTTTAAAGATATATCAAATATTATAGTCAATGGCTACACTCAAAACAGCCTAGCAGAAAAATGGTCACCTGTTTCTCCCTGAAAACATATAATTTCCCCTTATCCCATATTGTCTTAACCACTATCAGTAAGTCACTACTATTATCACTATCACTTCAGTATATAGCAGTATATAGTAGCCTATCTATTCTGTTTAGATCATAGTAGAACCCCTACTCCATGTTGTAAAATACTGGTAGAAATATCAGTGGCCAAACTTCCAAGATTTTTTTTTCCATAACATCCTTGTTCAAGTATATTTAAACATTCTTAAATTACAAAAAACATTCTCAAATGCCTCTACAGACAGAAATGTTTCAAAATAGGCATCCCCTAATACCAGCTAGTAATTTAGAGTTCTCCACCTTCAGATCAGCCCCAAAAACAATACTTTAAAACAAAATTAATCATTAAAATATTCTGTGGCAACAGTGAGCTGTTTAAACAACTGTAGCCTATCTTCATCATATCCAAGTTGGTTTTTTTTCTTGTGTGTGTGAAAAGCAGTGGTAGAATATTGGCAAAGAACCACGCAATACTTGGATCCATTTAAAATGTTTTGAAAAATAAATGGTGTTATCACTTAGAAACTTACATAATTTTATACAATAGACTGTCTACCTCAATTAGAATAACTTTTGTATCTTATTATTCATTGCGCGTTTTTCGAAAATGGATATTAAGGCATTAAAGAGGA